CGCTCCACAGTCGATCCCGCAGCCGAGCAGAGATTCTCCTGCCTGGCTCACCAAACTGATGTGCGGAAAGTAGACTCCACAACTTAGAAAGTTGTAAAGTAGATATGTTTTATTCAGCGCTGGGCAGCACGGGGGGTCGCCCCACCACAATCGTGCGTGCCTAATGCAGCGGCTTTCTCAAATATATATAGTATTTGCTTACATAAGCGTGAGATTTCCCAATACGCCTATACATATACATGACCTGTCCCCGCTTCGTATTAAAATTAGCTCTAAGAAATCATTTTCATCAACTCCTCCCAACTGCGCTTGCGCAGTGCCTCCTGGTGGTGGTCGTTGAGGGTCGTGAGGATGAAGACTGATGATTCCTCTTCATCACCGCAAGTAACCTTTTGTCTTTGTGCAGACTCAGTTCTTCTCTGGTCTTTGTCCAGACCGCAGGGTTGGTTTCAACTGCTTTTCGAGACATGTTCTTGTCCGTTATCAGGAGCTGTCCTTGACAATGTTACAAGACTCCTTGCTTCGTCTAGTTCTCAGTAACATTTACCCGTGGGTTTATCAGGCCTGCCTGTTAAGTTATTTCACTGCTACTATCCCTGACTCACCGGTACCCAGTGGTGCTGGTACCCAGCGGGACAGTGAACTGCTGCCATGAGACATCTCGGTCTGTGCCTCAGTTTCTCCATCTCACGCAGGGACGGTACCAGTCACACGGAGGTGGAGGGATGGTTCAGTCCAGGGCACTTTTTGGGCTCCTGGTGCTGCCAGAGGGACAGGCAAAGGTCGTCCTTCCTGCAGAAACACCCCCCGCCCCAGTGAGGGGGGGCAGAAGAGCCCCAGGGAGGGGGTGAAGCCCAGGGAAGGGCATGTGTCCCCTGGGAGGGGGGGACACTGGGGGCAGGACGGCTCATAGCTTCAGTGGGAGATGGGGAAGGAGGTCCAGGATGAAACGCACCCCCGTTGCCTGAGCCCCACATTGGGCAGCAGCGGGGGGTGAGGTGGGGATGGGGACACGGCTGTCAGAGGGGGCTGGGGCAGGCAGGGATGGCTCTGCTGAGTGGGGGGCGATGCCAGGACACGGGGGAGCTGCGGAAGTGGCCGAGAACCAGAGATGCCGTCTGGAGGGGTCGATCCTGGGAGCCCGACCTGGCTGCCCCTCAGCCCTCTGTCCAGGGACGGGGTTCAGCTGATGCTCTGTGCCCTGTGGTGACATGGACCGGCCAAGGGCTGGTGACACATCTGCTCTGAGCTCTCATAACAACCTGTCACCAGACACGCAGCATCTCCCGCAGGGGCAGGCTGGTTCCCGTCCCCCCTGAGCAGTGTCCCTGGCTGCAGCTCTGCAGTGTGCCCTGCCCGAACACCTTCCCCCAGCCACGCAGGGCTGCTGCCGAGGAATCCCCGGGCTGTGCTGCACCATCCAGCTGGAAGGTCATCCTTCTGGGATGAGTCACAGGGACTGGCAATGCCAAACCGCTTCTGGGATGTCACACTTCCCAGCTTTCCCCGGGGTTGTCACACTTGGTGTCACTCTTCTACCACCTCCCGGCTTTCTCTGCTGGTTGGGAGCTGTGTGGTGGAGAGATGGTGGGTGGAAGAGAAAGTCCTCAGAGGAGAAAGGTGGCCCGGGGGAGCCGGGAACAGCCGTGGTCCCTGAAGGGTGGTGGCACTTGATGGCAGGTGACAACGATGACACACCTCACCTGAACTCGCGATGGGATGTAGATCCACTGCCAGTCAGGACACTGCAGGGCTGAACCCCCCCACCCAACGTTCCCATCCACGTCATCTCTCAACTGGAAACACGCGTGTGGACACTGCTGCAAACCACCCTCTGCCCACGCGTGGGTGCTGCCTATCCCTGGCAGGGGCTGTGCAGGCAGGAAGGGGCTGTGCAGGCAGCGAAG